TTGAACTCCTAAGTGTCTTTTATCTCCTAGATCCCAGGATTATTTCTACTGTTACATCTTCTCTACCTTTCAACTTTGATTCTGACTACTAGAATGTTGTACATAGTGTTAGTCACATCTCATTGTTACTTGCTTAATTGATTTCCCCATTAGACTGTGAACTTCTTGAGGGCAAGGACCATGTCTTATTTAGCTTTGTATTCCTATTATTTGACTCAATATTAGCAAAGTCTCACTATATAGTTATTGAACTAATAAAACAAAATAAGTCAGGATTACTTATGCTCAACAGGTCTGGGGATTTTCCTAAGGACACTTCTTGGGTTTTCATGATTGATAATCTTTTAAGACTTTGCCCTGCTTCTCTCCTAACCTAAATGAAAAGAAAGGGGAAGGGAAGAGAGAAATAAGAATATTCAAGACTGGGTTGTTGACAATTACAGCTAAACCTACTTTGATTCTGTACTCAAACTGAGATGTTCTGGAGAGGTTTCTTGACAGCACCACTGCAAGGCTTTTGCATTACAAATAAATGCTTTGCATTTGGTAGTTGAGCAGTTTAATGGCTGAACTTATGCTCATTCTTTGTTAACTTGAGTTTTACTATCTACTCAACTTGCCATATTCTTTGGTTGTCACACCAGAACTTTTAAAAGTATATGCTTTCTTTTTTAATTGTTAGCTTCACGGTTTTGGTTATGTAAAAGAGAGATTTTCTTATAAAAATATTTTTTTGGTTTCATATCCTATTATTATTCACTTACAAAAATATTATCCAGTGAGATTCGGAGGTTAAAATATTTGATGTTAATAGTAATAATAATGTTGAACACTCACCATGGCCCAGGTACTGCTCTTAGTGCTTTAAATAGAGTGTCCTACTTGATTCACAAAACAGCTCTATGAAGGAGGGAGACATTCTTCTCCTGTTTTCTAGAAGAGATAAACGTAAGTGTAAACAAGTTGAGCCACTTGCCTATATCACGTAGCTGTTACAGATCACGGCCTGGATTAGGATTCAGGCCATCTAGCTCCAGAACTCACACTCATAATCACTACAGCTGTGGAGAGTATCATTTAGAACTAAATATCTGTTCTACCCGAAATTCAGAGGTTTATCTGCCTGTCAGTCTTAGCATCCTTTTTGAATAGATTGGCTCTTTAAAATCCTATCTCCTACTTCTACATTTTTTTCCTTTCACTCCTCATATGCTGCTGGTGTATTGCACTCTAATTCCCTTTCACTTCCTTCTTTTGGGACAATTCATTACTGCTTCATGAGCCAGTGCACCATGGATGTGTCTCATTACAGCCCCTCTCCTAATCAACTGTGTTGATGCTGAGATACAAGTACTGAAACCAAATACATGCCTGTATTTATTTTTCTTGTCACCCAAAGAATAGGAAACTATTTATGTAATTCCAGGTAAAAATTGAGAATAGGACATGCATTTATTTCTTGTAATTCCTTTGTACTAAGCATAAATATAGAGGCTGGGTTAAGGACAACATTTATATAGTCAGGCAAGTAGAGATTTGGATGTTTGACCAATCAGATTTCATCGAGACAAAATAAAACAAATACACAAAAAATAAAATCCTAAGCTAAAAAAGCTGTACTACTCTTACAAATTGTTTGTTTTAAATTTTATACTATAGCTACCATTATAGAAAAAGTTATTTTGAAATGCACTTCTTTCAGTGAATTAGTAGGAGAACTGTAGTTGTTTTTGTTTTGTAAATTATAATGATACAATATTAACTATGGAAGTACTAAGGATTATACTTTTCAGATTAGAGTAAAAATTGTTCCATAGAGGACTGACTTCATTATCAGGCAGAGAGGATAGGTAGGAAATTTCATGCTTTTCCCTTCAGAAAGCTCATACATTTCTATGCATCATCCCCCTCCCCAACGGATATTTCCTTCTCAATCTCATCCCATTAAGACTTAATATTTAGTCCTTGTTAAAAAACAAATTGAATTTTGATAAGGCAGCCACTTTGCTGTTACTGCTCACATACTGCTTGAGTGTGATCCATTTCTGGAATGTTTTGGAATGAAAGGGATTTGCAAACAGGAAACGGTTTGGGTGCAGGGGGAAAAGAGGAGAGACCAATTTGAGGGTTGAGGAGAACTGAAAGGGAAGTACCTAGCACTAAAAGAAAGATGGATATTAAAGAGGGCACGTGATATGACAAGCACTGGGTGTTATACTCAATGAATCATTGAACGTTATATCAAAAACTAATGATGTACTTATACCTTGGCTAATTGAATTTAAATTAAAAAAAAAGTCAGCAGCAAACACAACCTTCTTTCAATTCCCTATATTTGCCGCAAGTTTGTTCATTTTGGTTGGGTATTGATATGTTTAAGAGTTTAGAGATTGTGTTTAGGAGGGTGATCTTTACTTCCGTTAGATGTGGCACCTCCACCACAATCCACACATTATTTCTGCACCTCATCCCATCCCTAGAGTCTGATTCTCCATTGGTCAGTGTTTGTCTCTTCTCTATTAACCTTTGTGCACAATGGCCTTCCAGACTTTCTATAAAGACATCGCAATTGCCTTGAGGATCACAGTGGTTGCAACTGGACCCAGGCTAGTAGCTTGAAATGGTGACAGAGCTTTTGTGTTAGCCTACCCAATATCATAGTCTTGGTTTTTCATGGTGCAGTCATGAGGTATAAATCCATTTTCTCTCGGAGGCGATGAGTTCATGTGGGACTAAACTTGCAGGGTTTCTTAAGCTCAGCATTACTGGGAAGAGACCAGCTTCAGTTGGTAGTTTTTCCCACGTGGGAATGGCTTCATACCACTCACATTGTCTCAATTTGAACTGGGTAGAGATAAGACCATTTGCCAGCTGGCAGTGGGAAAGCTCATTGATCCTGAGGAATTTGTGAAAAGGCAACATTACAGATCTAAGTGACTTTGTTCTAGCTTAGATTACCAAGGCCTCTTGCATGTATATCCCTGGGGAAACACATCCCATGTAGGTTCTGAGTACTTGGCTATGTAATCAAGAGCAAAGCTACCCTCCAAACAGATCTCCATATGTACCACTTGGTGACCTCCTTTCTCTAGTTGTCTTCACATAGCAGCTTGGGATTTATAAAAATAGCTAAATTTAATCAAACTGTTTCCATGTCTGAGCTACCTTATGAGGGAGGCACCATTGTTACCCTCACTTTGCAGATGTAGGAAACTGAGGTAGAGGGATGTTAAATGACTTGACCCAAGGGCATACAGCTTGGCAGTGGCAGAGCTTAGCATAGATTTCAGGGAGACTGGCTCTAAAGTTTATGCCCTTCCTTTTAGCACAAGTGATGGAGTAAAAGGCTATTCTGAGGCCAGAGTTGTACCTTAGGCCTTCATGCCTAAGTCTATAGACAGACCTCTAGAATGCAGTTCTAATTCCTAGTAGACCTGAATTGAAAAGCTTTCCAGCAATGGCCTCTTATTTTGAGAGCAGTTTGGAAGGGGACTGGAGGGTCCAAACGAAGCTGCTGAGTGGTAGTCAAGCTCATGCCTGAGATAGGACTGAAGATGGAGGTTTATTGTGAAACTTGGCTTCTTAATGGGCAGTGTGGGACTCTCTTTGGCAGACTTACCCTATAGGCATTCAGTCATCTTAAAAGGTTTTTTTTGTATTGGCTGTTTTAATTCCTGTGGGTTCTTGGCTGTCTTCCCTACTTCCTTGAGGCCTCCCTGTCAGGATCAGAGGTCACTGCTTTAACTTTAGGCTTGTAGATACTCCTTTCTTTCTTACTTTTATTTCTTCTATACTAAGCATAAATATAGGAGCTGTGCTAAGGACAATGCTTGTTTAATTTGGCAAGTACAGATTTGGATGTTTGGTCAGTAAGTTAGATTTAGGGTTCCTCTGAATCTCTGGACTAGTTGGGGATCTAAATCTTCCCAAAGAGACAAGACCAGGGTCCCAGGAGGATGGTTTCTGAATGTGACTCTCACATTCCAACCTAAAGTGACCATGTGTTGTTTGTTTCTCTAGATTGTCAGTTATCTCTAAGATGTTGTGTTTTAGATGTTTTCATTTATGTCCTTTTTCCTAGACCACATTTTAAACCCCTTAAGGCAAAAACATTATGTCTTTTTTAAAATTTTATTTTGTTATGTTAATCACCATACTTTACACCATTAGTTTTTGATGCAGTGTTCCATGATTCGTTGTTTGCTTATAACACCCAGTGCTCCATTCAATACATACCCTCTTTAATACCCATCACCAGCCTAACCCATCCCCCCACCCCCTCCCCTCTAGAACCCTCAGTTTGTTTCTCAGATTCCATAGTCTCTCATGGTTCATCTCCCCTTCCGATTCCCCCCCTCATTTTACCCTTCCTACTGTCTTCTTTTTTTTTTTTAACACATGATGTATTATTTGAAAAACATTATGTCTTATACAATATGTTCCATGCTAATAATAGATAATAAACATGTTTTGTTTTGACCAGTTAAAATACTAGAGTGTCTTTGCAGAACTGACTTTTCTAATAGGACTGTGGCACAAACTACCAAAAGTCTTTAGGATGTTGGTTGACGTATTTCTGAGAATCATACAGTTTTAAAGCTTATGGTAATTTTGAAGTAGAAAAATAACAATGATTTGTAAAATTTTTATTTTAAAAGTGTTTGGATTTTGGTGCTAAGAAATAATTAGTTTGATTTCTGTTTGAATTCAGTTTGCTTTACTCATGTTAGGTGGTCTTTTCCTTGTCAAAGTCAATATTTTTATATAGTCTTTCAGTCATGTTTAGTGGTTTTTATCCACCTACATCTCCTCTCTCCCATCTCATATAAAAATGTAAGTTGTATTTTATCATGTCTTAATAAATAAATGTTGGCCAGATGCTAAAGGTAATTTAAGTGAAGTGTCATTTAATTCTGAGCCTCTGAGAAAGGGCTTGGATCTGTGTGTTGGGTGTTCTCAGATACGGAGATGTAAACACCATTTTTCTGTTCCATTTTCAGGTCACATGTGCCAATTTAACAAATGGTGGAAAGTCAGAACTTCTAAAATCAGGAAGCAGCAAATCCACACTAAAGCACATATGGACAGAAAGCAGCAAAGACTTGTCTATCAGCCGACTCCTGTCACAGACTTTTCGTGGCAAAGAAAATGATACAGATTTAGACCTGCGATATGATACCCCAGAACCTTATTCTGAGCAAGACCTTTGGGACTGGCTGAGGAACTCCACAGACCTCCAAGAGCCTCGGCCCAGGGCCAAGCGAAGGCCCATTGTTAAGACGGGCAAGTTTAAGAAAATGTTTGGATGGGGTGATTTTCATTCCAACATCAAAACAGTGAAGCTAAACCTGTTGATAACTGGGAAAATTGTAGATCATGGCAATGGGACATTTAGTGTTTATTTCAGGCATAATTCCACTGGTCAAGGGAATGTATCTGTCAGCTTGGTGCCCCCTACAAAAATAGTGGAATTCGACTTGGCACAACAAACCGTGATTGATGCCAAAGATTCCAAGTCCTTTAACTGTCGCATTGAATATGAAAAGGTTGACAAGGCTACCAAGAACACACTCTGCAACTATGATCCTTCAAAAACCTGTTACCAGGAGCAGACCCAAAGTCATGTATCCTGGCTCTGCTCCAAGCCCTTTAAGGTGATCTGTATTTACATTTCCTTTTATAGTACAGATTATAAACTAGTACAGAAAGTGTGCCCCGACTACAACTACCACAGCGACACACCTTACTTCCCCTCCGGATGAGGATGAACATGGGTGAGACTGAAGCCTGAGGAATTAAAGGTCATATGACAGGGCTGTTACCTCAAAGAAGAAGGTCACATCTGTTGCCTGGAATGTGTCTACACTGCTGCTCTTGTCAACTGGCTGCAAATATGCTAGTGGAAATCAATCTGATGTAATTTCTGCCCAGTCAGCTTCATCTCTCAGTATAGTTGTAAATCACCACAGATTTTAAAGGCACACTTGAAGACATGCTCTCACACATAGATGTACACAAACACACATTCTTATACATTTCAGCTTGCATCTGCCATGATTCCTGTCAAGAGGGCTTTCATTGTCTGACTCATAATGGTTTAGGATAAACTTTCATCAAGCAAAAGGATTAACTAGACAGTGAATGGTTTCTAACACTTGCTGTTATGGAAATCTCTTTTAAAGTCTTGAGTACATTTTAATCAATAATCCCCATTCATGCATTCCTACTGCTTGGAGTAGCTGTACTGGTAAATACTACTGTAGGAGTATATGCTTGTTAAAATGGAAAAAAAATGTGTCTTTAGAGCTCAGTATTCTTTATTTTATGAACACAACAAAGTGTAGTAACTTTTTTCCAGCATATAGTAGGCACATTCAAGGTAATATAAGATGGCTCTTTTTTTCTATGGAGGGAGCCTGTTTTCAGTAAAGATGAGCAAACATTTGGAATTTACATGTGGGCAGACATTGGATTACAGCTTTCATCACCAGTCGTTGGACTTTTGCAAAGTGAGACCAGCTAAGGCTGCTTAAAACAAGTTCTGATCATTATATAAGAAGGGAAATGCCTGACAGACACCATGTAAGTTATAAGTGTCTGTCTTATCTTTACTACACATATTGTAACAAATTCAATATCCTAGTCTTCATTTGTATGAATGGTTTGTATTGTACATAGTTTAACCCAGTGTTATTTGAGCTGCTTATTAATATTAACTTGTACTTGTCTCTGCTTGTTATTGGTTAAAAAAGAAAAAAAAGGATATGAGGAATCCATTTTATCAATGTAGCTGTGACCTCCATTAAGAAACAAACTTAATGTACAAAGCATTTATTCAGCTCAAGTATTGTTGAAAGCTATACATATACAACATTACAGTCTGTCTGTATTTAGATATTTTATTTCTGGACAAAATGAAATGTACATAAAAATAAAATGCTTAAAGTTGAGTTTCAATATGTGCTTGTGTAAGATGGTGATTTAAGTGGTTCTGACAAGAAGAATGTGATGGAATACAGTAATGGTTTTGCATCTCATGTCTCTAAATTTGTACAGAACTATCTAAATTGCTATTAGTTGCTCAGTCAAAACAACTTAGGATTTCAGTTTCAAGCCTGGAAAGCAGTTGTGGCATACGGCGTTGCACACATTTTTGGTTTATTGTTGTGCTAGTGATTCACAAATACCAAAAATCAGTGAGCAGAAGAGATGATTGAGGTCTCCTAAATATTATAACTATTTTTTTTCCTGTGTAGTTTCTATTTAGCAGGGAGACCGAGAAGAAGGTAATTTTTTGTGGCTGACTTTCTCTGATTCTACTGTAATCACTCAACTGAGAAAATTACAGTAGCAGTGAAGGGCTTTGGTGTCCGATATACTTACACCAAATGGGATCAACTTACCTATGTAGCATTGTTTATGGACAGTAAGCTTTCTTTTAAAACATAATTACTGTATGTAATCCCAGCAAAATAAACAGAAGAAGAAATATGCAAGATAACCCATTTTTAAAGTCACAAGTGGGGGATTGAGATATGAAGAGTCTCAAAGGTTAACCAAAGAAGCCAGATTAAAACACTAACCCGTTCTCATCTTCCCTTCATGCTGCATAGGGATAAGTATGTTTTCATACAGAAAATAATTGAAGTACTACAGGGAACATAAGACCACAGAGTTCTAAAGTGAGAACTCAGCAACTGATTTGACTAAAGAGAGCCTTCAACTGCAAATCAAAGACACATCGTTCTGTTAAATGTCCATCTCTCAAAATTCTCCAATATATCTAGACAACCATTTCTATCAACGTATTAATTAATTTGCCATGGAATTTAGAAGCTAATGTTGGAACAGACTCTCTCTGGCACAACAGGCAATAAATGCTTCATGAGTTCCAGCTGTGGGACATATTTGCTACAGATAAATCTTGTTATTCTGGGATTTATTTATCAAAATGATCCTTAGAAGTTAGTTGTGCTTAGCAAAAAGGAGAATAAATGAGAAGGGGAAAATCATTTAAAAAATTTTTTAGGACCATTTGATTAGTGGACTGTGACTTCCATTATGTGGTCTAATCTGTCCTTTTTTATTTTTTATTTTATTATTTTATTTTTTTAAGATTTTATTTATTTATTTGACAGAGAGAGAGAGCACAAGCGGGGGGAGCAGCAGGCAGAGGGAGAGAGAGAGGGCGAAGCAGACTCCCATCTGGGCAGGGAGCCTGATGTGGGGCTTGATCTCAGGACCCTGGGATCATGACCTGAGCCGAAGGCAGATGCTTAACCCATTGAACCACCCAGGCGCCCCTAATCTCCTTTTTTAATTCAAAATTCAAGATGAGATAAAAATACATTTCAGTCTCCACCCATCTGCCCTGCTTTCTAACCTCCCCATGAAATGTTGCTTTTACATTTTTATAAACATACAGACCATACCTAACAAACATCCAATGAATTTGAATTATTTTTCTGTAGTTTTTCTTTAAAAGAAAAAGAAAATGTAGCAAACTTCCAACAAGAATTTCAATTTTTTAAAAATCAAACTTTCAGTACTCTTTTTTTCTGGCCCTGTACACACTTACTCAAATTGCTACATCATCAACACCTCCATCTGTAATATAGGAAAGTCATGATGATGTAGGACTTTGTATCCAATATACTCTTCCTGTTCTGGACAAGGATCATGATGAATATGAAGATTCTAAGGTTTAGATTAAAACTTTATTAGACCAACTTGTTGATTTAACAAACTAGTTAGTTAAGTTTTAATTATGCTAGAAATCTATTTGTTATTTGGAGAAATTAAATTTTAAGTTGCACTAAGAAAATCATCTTCTCTAGAATCTTAAATACTATTTCACCCCTTTGCTAAGATACAGAAAAAAAAAAAAAAAACCCTGCAAGGGGGAAATAGATAGCACTTGATGTAAACATGGGTTTGTTGCTACCTGTTGTTCTTTTCAGAAACATTTTAGTAAAATTGAAATTATTATGAGGAAATATTGCAGCCTCTTGCCTCATGGAAGAAAAATGGTATGAGTTACTGGTTTATCTACTTATGATAAAAATAATGCATTGTCATGGCATGGTTTCAGTCGGGCACTTTTGAGTCCCTGGCTCTTGTTAGAATTTCTCCGCATGAGTAGAAGGGGTATAACTGTTAATAGAATAGTATTAAAGTTCTGGAAGTAATTATTCTGCAAGTAATTGAGATACTTGTTAAGTTTAAAACCGTGGACTGGGACTCTTCATGTTCCTACATTTCAGCAATAAACTGTAAGCCATATTTTTGCACAGAATAGATTAAAAGAAATCATGAGAAGCCTGAGAAAGTGTTCTGTTTTTTCCCTTTTCCCCACTGTTTTACATGTAAGAAACAGCTTAACCAATATAAACAGCTCTTTGGAAAAGCAATTTGCATCTCCATCATCAACTTTGCGAAGTTTTAGCCCGAAGCAAATTCAAATGGCTGGGTTTATAAGCCTTTGAAAAATGTGGCTGCTGTACCAGTTTCAGATATTTATTGATATTTATTCAATTATCAATCTATTTACCTATTTATATATATTATTTATCTTTACATTTTTATTTAAATAAAATGCAAATTAGTAGATGCAGTAAAAATACAAAATTTAAAAACATGAATGTGTTTAAAAGATGATTACTATTTTCCTAGTTTATAGGAGACAAAAACTGAGTATCTTTAAGCCAGAATTGAATCCTGAAAAGCTGGTTGCTACAGCAGGCTTTTCTCAGGAGTCCCATGCATACCAAAGACTGATTTCAGGGATTGAGAGCATAAAGAAAACATTCCTTAATTTAAAATTGTTGTGTATCATTGTGTTTTATATCCAATACTATCAGAAATATTTTTAAGTAACAAATTTACAACTACTTTTTACTAGGGTGGCAAAGAACACTATTCTCATGAGAGAATTTTAGTTTCAAGTTGTTGGTGTGAACAAAGTCTAGTGACATAGTCTAAAATTAGGAGACTACCAGTGTCAAGCAGCTGGCCAAGTGCCGCAAGTTTGATCAAAATCACTTTAATATTTATGGTTCTACATTTGCAGGAACATGCCTTTTATCACTGATGGATTGGAGGATGACTCTAAAGGTCCCAGAAGTGATGGATACAGAAGGAGGAGGGAGGGCCTGCGGGGGGGGGGGGGGGGAGGGGGCTGAGTGGCTGTTGCCGTTGATTCTCCCAAATTCTAACTAGTGACTTAGACATACAGCTAAAGCACTGCTCACATCATCCTCACCTGACAGCAGCTAGCTTCCTCTTTCCTACTTCTCTGTCAGGGCTCCAAAGAGACAACTAGAATGTTACTGATCTCTGATGGTCAAATTCCTTTATTTAAACACAGAAGTAAACTTGGCCACTGAAATTGTGACTGTTTAAAGAAATAATGCAAGAAAGTTGTTGGAATGTGCTATTGCCAAACAAGTAATTTTTCGCAAGTAAAATATCTGCCATTGTTTCTATTACTGCCAAAATTCACTTTGTCACTTTTCTGAAACCCAATTTTAAAATTAATTTCTTTTTTTGCAACTTATGAAAATTTTCAGTTAGAAAGCATGGCCAAGTGACATCACCTAATCAGGTTGGAAATATTTCGTGGACTTTTTTAAAAATTGAAGTATAATTGGTATATAAGTTTATATTAGTTTCAGGTGTACAACATAATGATTGTATATTTGTATATATTGCAAGATGATCACTACAATAAATCTAGTTAACATCCATCACCATACATAGTTACAAAAATTTTTTCTTGTGATAAAAACTTTGAAGATTTACTCTTAGCAGCTTTTAAATATGTGATACAGTATTATTAACTATAATCACCATGCTGTACATTATATCCCCATGACTTATTTTATAACTGAAATTTTGTACTTTTTTGACCCCTTTCATCCATTTTGTCTACCACCCCTTGCCTCTTTCCGGCAATCTATATCTTCTCTGTATCGATGAGCTTGGTTTTTTGTTTTTGGTTTTGGTTTTTGATTCCAGTATAAGGGGGATCATACTGTATTTTTCTTTCTCTGATTTATTTTATTTAGGATAATGCCCTCAAGATCCATTCATGTCATAAATGGCAAGAGATCATTATTTTTTATGGCTGAATAACATTCCATTGCATGCGTGTGTGTATGTATGTGTGTGTGTGTGTCACACACACACACAATTTCTTTATCCATTCATCCATTAATGGACACTTACATTGTTTCCATATCTTGGCTATTATAAATAAATAATGCTGCAATGAACATGGGGTGCATATATCTTTTTGAGTTTGTCTTCATTTCCTTTGGATAGATACCTAGAAGTGGAATTACTGGATCATATGGTAGTTCTATTTTTAATTTTTTGAGGAACTTCCACACTGTTTTCCATAGTGACTGCACTAATTTACCCTCTCACCAAAAGTGTATGAGGGTTCCCTTTTCTCCACATCCTTGCCAACACTTGTTATTTTTTGTCTTTTTGATGGTAGCCACTCTGACAGGTATGAAGTAATATCTCATTGTGGGTTTGCTTTGTATTTCCCTGATGATTAGTGATGTTGAGCATCTTTTCATGTGTCTTTTGGCCATCTCTATGTCTTCTTTGGAAAATTTTCTATTCAGATCTTCTGCCCATTTTTTAATTGGATTTCTTTTTGTTTGCTATTGAGTTGTATGCGTTCTTTGTGTATTTTGGATATTAACCCATTATCAGATATATGATTTGCAAATATTTTATTCTATTTACTAA